CCAAAGGGGTGCGGGGGATGAACTCGGGTGAGGCGTGTGCACCCAAAGGCCTTGTTGGTCTTGAAGTTGATGGTGGGCTGGTGTTGCGCTCCCTCTGCCCCCCGCCCGGGCTGGGGGCCCGGCGCTCAGTCCCCCCTCTCTCGGCGCAGGACGCTGCTCACCTGGAGTCGGGCCAGCCGGTGCAGTACGAGGCCGACGTGGTCGTGTATCTGCAGGAGTGCGAAGGGCTCATCCGCCAGCTCCAGGTGGATGTGCAGATCCTTCGGGATGAGAACTACTACCAGCTGGAGGAGCTGGTGTTCAGGTGAGAGGAGCCGTGTCTGGGACGGTCCATGGATGGAGAGACGCGGTTGGGGCGGATGCCGGGCTGCTCCGCTCTCGTGGGGAAGAAGGGGGTGCGCGTGCACCCTCTCACCGTGCCGCGCTTCCCCAGGATTGTGCGGCTGCAGGACGAGCTGGTGACGCTGAGGCTGGAGTGCACGAACCTGTACAGGAAAGGCCACTTCTCCACCCTGGAGCTGGTGCCCGCTTCCACGCTGAGCACGACGCCCCTGAAGGGCGAGTCGCTGACAAAAGGGCTGCACACCTCCTCCGCCGCCTGGTTCCGCAAACCCATGACCAGGACGGAGCTGGTGGCCGTCTCCTCTTCCGAAGACGAGGGCAGCCTCCGCTTTGTCTACGAGCTGCTGGCCTGGGTGGAGGAAATGCAGGTGGGTGCTCTGGGCCGGGGTACCCGTCTCGCTGCTGTGGGAAGGTTGGAAGCTGCTCTGGGCTTTTCCCTGCCTTTAGCTCCGAGTAGTTGATGGTTTGGAGTTTCTGGAGAGCGCCAAGGCTTTTGTCTTGTGCTGGGCTTCCCCGCTCGTGCCCCTGCGGACCAGGGGGTGTCAGACGGTCCTTTCAGAGCCGGAAGCAACCGTGTACTGATGCTGTCAGTCCTTCGGTCTCACGTGGGCATGCAGCTGCTGTAGCCTGTCCCAAAACTCAGTGTTGCACGGGCTTCGGACCTTCTGCCAAGCCTGGCGTGGTGTCTGCTCCCTCGAGTGACCCAGGAGGTTCCCTCGTGCGCTTTTGGGATACGCTCCTGCTGCTGAGGAGCGCTGACTTGGACCCTGTGACCCGTTTTAGATGAGACTGGAGCGGGCAGAGTGGGGGACCGACCTACCGAGCGTGGAAACCCAGCTGGAGACCCAGCGACACATCCACGCCAGCGTGGAGGACCTGGGCTCCAGCGTGAAGGAGGCCAGGCTGTACGAGGTACGGCGGCACGAGCTGGGGGTGCAGCGGGGAGGTCAGCTCTGGCGGGTGAAGGTGCCTGGGGTGGAGGCGTTTTTAAGGGTGGAGCCTCTGAATTGATGCTGGGCTGGTGCAAGGGGCTGCTGCCCTGAGCCGTCACCTCTGCTGCTCGCACGGAGCCGGGAGAGGAGCTGGAGGTGGATGGGGTTTCCGGCGATGCCGTTCCGTGTCGCGTAACAGGAGCGTTTCCCATCCTGCAGGGTAAAATGTCTCCGAATTTCCGCGCCAGCTACACGGAGACGCTGGGCAAGCTGGAGACGCAGTACTGCAAGCTGATGGTGAGCGGGCTTCGGGGGGGCTTCTGGCACGGCCCAGGGAGCGCGGGGCGCATCCCTGCCGCCCTGCTCCCGAGCATCCCTGCTCCCAGGCTGGGGAGGGGGGAGAAACCGGTCACAGGATGAGGAATCGCGCTTCGTTGTGTCCAGGAAACCTCGAGCTTCCGCCTGAGGCACCTGCAGAGCTTGCACGGGTTTGTGTCTCGCGCCACTGCTGAGCTGATTTGGCTGAACGAGAAGGAGGAGGAGGAACTGGCCTACGACTGGAGTGACAACAACCCCAACATTGCAGCCAAGAAAAGCTACTTCTCGGTGAGCGACGCCGGGGCAGGGCCGGTGGGCCGGGGGCTGGGCTGGTG